AGGCAGTTGCCAACTATAGATGTCACTTTGCATGACATCTGTTAGGACCGACTGCTGTTTCTGGCATCATCAGTGGAGTTGGGCTGGTATTAATGCTTTGCTTTCCTCATCAATCCACAATGGCTTTTCTGCCAGAGGTGCCAGCAAATAACAGAGTTACTTCTTATAAAGGCATTCATATGTCCATTCTTCCGTTCTGGAGGATTGGACCACAGTCCCGGAGCGCTGTGGTGTCCCTTGTTCTATACAAGACATCAGGAACACCAGCACATCAAGTCGCTTGCAGACAGATGATGACACAGACATTAAATACATAATTTAATAGTGCAATAATGTTACAGAAAAGCATTTACAAAGTGTTACGGTTGTGTCCAGATGGGAAAATAATGAACTCTGCCTGTGAATCCAGGCACGGCTTTCCAGAACGTGGGAGATGTGCCTCTGAGCCACGAGCTTTGTTTCTCACAGTCCTGGAGACTGGAAGCCCACAGCCAAGATGCAGGCTGCAGTGTCCCGTGGGCCCTTCCTCCTTAGGTTGCCGACGGCGCCTTCTTGCTGTGTCTTCTCACTGGTGTTCCCCCGATGCATGTGTGTAGACAGGAGGCAAGCTCTCTGTTGTCTCTTCTTGTGAAGACACTGATCCTGTCCTGAGGGCCCCACCCTCATGACCTCATGTAACCCTCATTACCTCCCAGAGGCCCTCTGTCCACACTGTGGGTTCGAGCTTCCACATGTGAGTTTGGGAGGGACACAGTTCAGGCCATAGCGGCCTGACGTCCTTCCTCTCAGCTACACTTCTTGTAGTTTCTGTTCAAATGTCACTTTATTAGAAAATCTCTCTGACCTCCTTATATACAAACAGGATGCAACTCCCACCCTTGACTCCCTTGTCCTGCTTTTTTCTTCTCTTAGTGGGTTTATCTGTTTATTGTTTATGCCCCATCCCTGCACTAGAATACAAGAAAGGAAATATGGAAAAACGAAAGCCATTCAGCTTGCTGGGCTGATAGAAGTGCAGTCTGTTTTGTTCACTGCTCTACCCAAGGTTCTCAGGGTAGGGTTGGCAGGGAAGGTGCTGGATAGACATGTGTTGGATGGATGGATGGGTGCATAGGTGGATGGATAGATAGATGGACAGATGGGTGGATAGATGAATAGATGGATGGATGGATGGATGGATGGATGGATGGATGGATGGATGGAATGATGGATGGATGGATGGATGGATGGATGAAAGTTTGATCACCTCGTTACACCAAATTGTTCATTGTAGACACGCTCTTCCATTTTACTGGATCTCCGAGGTATGCTTGTGGTACTGAACAGAACAGGGAATGTCTTATAGTCTCACTTTCACTATTCTAGGCAAAAATATATAATTCTGCCAAGAAATGCACTACTGAAGCTTAGCGTTTCAGGGCATAATTTATTAACTTGTCTTGTCCTTCATGGGAAGCAGCGTCAGCTCTCCTCAAATTTTCAATAATTCAGCTCCTGCAAGTTAAGATGAGGAAGTCATTTGAATCTGGGAGCCAAATGAGATGTTCAGAGAAGCACATATTTATCTGCATTCTAACTCAAAGAAAGTCTCTATGCTCTGGTTACACCCATGTAGAAATTGAATGTGTATATAGACCATGACTAGAAAGGAAAATGGGGAAAATGAAAAGTTTTATTTTCTTGGATTAGCAAGATTACTCATGATTTGTTTCCTCCCTAACTTGTTTCCTGTTAGTATTGTTAACAATAGTATTTGTGTCAGTTAAAAAAGAAATTACCTGTACTGTGAAATGTGAAATTTAGCAAATGAAAATGGAGTTTAGTAAAGAATGTCTGCTTTCATGTGGGCAAAATTGCCCTTTTTAAATGTGTAAGAATGCTGCCTGGAAGGCAATATGGTGCATCTGTCTTTAAGAAATGATGTTGGGGCACCTGGGTGGCTCAGTCAGTTAAGCATCTGACTCTTGGTTTCGGCTCAGGTCCTGAGATTGAGCCCTTCGTTTGGGCTCCCTGCTGAGCATGGAGTCTGCTTAAGATTCTCTCTATCCCTCTCCCTCTCTTCCTCCCCTTTCCCCTTCCCTCTCTCTCTCTCTCTAAAAAAGAAAGAAAGCAAGCAATGGTGTCATTGACCCAGGATCACTTCCCTTGAGTACACTATGCTGTCAATGCCTGTTTGGTTATTTAGAGTACATTCTCCCATTCAATAATACATACCAAACTGGTTTTCTGTGCAAAGTATTTTCTTAGTCCAGTGAACAGGAGGAAGGCAGAGTCTTTGTCCCCTTTCCAGAAGTCCTTGCCTCCCATTTGTTTTCCACCCCTGCATAGCAACTTCACAGCTTTGTATCTCTCTCTTCCGTCCTATATGTGTTCATAGAACTTTTACTCTATTGGACATTTTTAAGATCATTTATTTCCACCTTCCTTTCTGGATGATTGGACCTCCAGGACCCCTGTTAGGTGTTCACCATCCTGCACACTTCCTGGTGAAGCATCTCATTCTACTGTGAGGTGATACTCATGGCTGGGAATTTTGAAGTTGTACTGAAACACAGTTCTACCTTCTGGAGCTGTACAGAATAAGTCTCCTCTTCCATGTGATAGTTCAAGTGGATGAAGACTCTTAAGTATTTGGCTTTTGAGGCTGAACTCTTCCTTCAACGTGACATGTTTTGCAAACATCTCCATCTTCTGGTCATCTTGGTAGACACTCTGACACCATCCAGCCTAGACCTGGACATCCCACTGTGGATGTGTTGGGGCTGGTAAGAGGCTCACTGAGTCTCAGAAGGACCTCTGTCACTGCAACATGGGTTCAAGTACACTTCTACAAGTAAATCAGCTACACTACTAGCTCGTCAAGAAATTGACACAAAGAAAAAGTCTTAGGCTTCTTCATGCATATAAACTTTGACCAGTGTATTTAATAGATATGTTTAGTACAGATTTTAGAATTCTAAATTATTATTAACAAAAAGATTCAAAAGATACCAATTGTATGAAGCTGATGAAGACAATAACATTAATTTTATTATTCTGTATCTTGAATAAGATTTGGTCTTAAAGATTAAAATATTCTGGCTTGATTGTTACCCTGGGATTTAATATGAACAGTGTTTGTGAAATGTCCGCTAGGGGGCTGCCTGGGTCCTCAGTCAGTTAAGCCTCTAACTCTTGATTTCAGCTTAGATCATGATCTCAGAGTTGTGAGATCGAGCCCCGTGTCACATAGGGCTCCATACTGGGTGTGGAGCTACTTAAGATTCTCTCTCTCCCTCTCCCTTTGCCCCTCCCCTCCCTCACGCACTCACACTCTCTCTCTCTCTCAAAGAAAGAAAGAAAGAAAGAAAGAAAGAAAGAAAGAAAGAAAGAAAGAAAGAAAGATCGATCCACTAGGGTCTGCGAGACATTATGTGTACTACCTTGTTCATATGAATAATACTGCTTCAAGATATATGCTATTCACAAATTTGGTGAATTTTCAAATTTTCTTCATAAACTTGGGCAAAGTGAAAAGCTGCTGAATCAGCAAAATCTGATTACTTCTTCTTGTTATTGGCCTGTGATTTTCTTGCATAGGAAAATCTATCCATTCAGAAATGAGATCAACTCAGTATAACTTTTTGTCATTTTTAAGTGCTAAAAAGCCACTTCTTAATAGATAAATTCTGGATAGCAAATAAGATTGGTAGAAATTTTTAAACAACAATAAAATCCTTTCTTGCTAAGAGCATAGTGGCCCTCAGAATTTCTCTTAATTTGATAATCTAGATAGCCAATATTGAATATTTGCATGTCAGTTATTAACCATTTGCCATCCTCTATTTAATGTCACCTTTATTTCGATTTGCAGAAATTTGCTACATTCTAACGAACTTTGAGTTTGGGATGAAGCTGCATTTGGGTATTGCATTATCTACTTTTTGAGGCCCCCTCTATTCTACTTCATCTTGAGTTGGAGTTAATATGAGTTGTAATTATGGGCACTATAAGAGAGAATGTTTTGTGTTCTGTTTATGGGCAGAAGGAGCAGTAGACCGTTTGCAGTGTGACCATATGTCTTTATTTGCTTTGGGGAGTGCCAGTTGCTCTTGTATTACTGATGATAATTTTTATCAATATAAACTATTATGTTTATTAATTGTTAATTATAAATATTAACCAGTTTGTCTCTCTAAGGATCCCAGCTTGGAATGTAAATTATATGAGCACCCTGATTTGAAAGGAATTGAAAGTTGGTTTCAGCAGCCAATATGCCTGATTAATTTCCTAGATTTATCCAACCTTTAGCACACTTTAGCAATGTCTCCAGATTCTTCCTCCCATCCCTAACCCCTGCGACCGTGCAAACACAGCTCCCGGGAGGGACGAAAATCTAGAATAGGTTTCTAGAAATATTCTAGAATATTTCTATTTCTATTCTAAAGTGAATCACCCAATGAAGAGACCTGGGCAATCTTGAAGTCTTGTATGAAGTTCTGCAGAAGGGAGAAAGGGCTCAAGATCATGAGCAGTGGGTCCAGGTTAATTATACTCGGCATGCAGGATGTGCTAAATAAATGTTTGAATCTGGTACCCTGAAATAGAAGTTAATGGTGTGGATGTGAATGAGAAGGAAGATGAGAGAGGACTGGGAGCCGGCAATATTAATCATACTTGGGTTTGACTCAGTGGGGTTAGGAGGTTGGCTGTCACGAAGGGAAACGCCACAGTTGCCCTGTGCTGTGGAACCCAGTGTCCCGAGTGAAGAGACAATCAGTTCTCAGCAAAGCTGTAAACATAATATACTATCACATTTGTTCTTGAGATCAGGTTTTGCAGGGACAAGAGCAGGAGGCCGAAGGGCGGAAAAAAGAGCTACTCGTAGTTCAAGGATGAGAATATGCCTCATTCACTCTTCCGTGTCTTGGTTTTTGATTCAAATGGAATGTATTTATTTGGTTTTTATTTTATTTCCTTACTTCACTCACTGGGTTTCTCTTTCCTGTTGTTGTTTTTAGGAGCTGGTGGGGAGCAACCCTCCCCAAAGAAACTGGAAGGGAATAGCGATTGCACTCCTTGTGATCCTGGTCATCTGCTCCTTGATTGTCACCTCGGTCATACTGCTGACTCCAGGTACTTACATTTATTCTTGGAAAAGCAAGTCACTGTGTGGGAGAAAGTGTCTAGCTGTGCTTTGCAGTTTTTTTCTAAGTAACTACCTGTTACATAATTTATTTTTCCCAGGTTCTAATTCTCATTGTGCCATATTGTTAAATGATTAATGTTTCAATGAAAAAAAATCCATTTTGTATGCTTTGAATTCATTTATATTATTGTTGACTAGAAACACTTGGCATATATTAAAATTCATAATTACTTCTTCATGCTTGATGAGCTTTAAGACAGTGGCGTTATAAATATGACACGTCTATGGATCTCATGGAATCTGTAGCTACTGTATCAAAGAAGCATTTTAAAAATTAGTTCACACTCAATGTATGTTGTTTTAATAAGAACAGAGGTACTTGATGAAATAAAAGTATAAGAAAGAGTCAGAAATCTCACAGGGAAGAAAAAACACACAAAATCTTTAGCAAAATCCTACAGCAAAAATGTGTATACACCTGCACCTTGAATGTTTCAAAAATAAGTGCTATGGGAGCTTGGAGGAGAGAGAGGTCCTTCGTGAGGAAGTTCAGGAAGAAGGTGAGATGTGAGGCAGGTTGTGGTGGAGTATGAGCTTAAGGAGAGAAGGAAGACTTTTCCTGGAAGACAACCACATGGCAGTTATAGGAGACCACTGTGGCCACATTCTCATTGTCATGTTTGTCTCCTAATTGTTTGGAAAAAAAAAAAACCACAGTTCTAACCCTCAGTAAATAGACTGCACAGGTATTAGACCTTAAGATGGCAAAAGAAGTAGATACATTGAAATGTATTAATTAATTAATTAATTAATTTTACATTTTTACAAAAAGTGCCAGTAAATGATGATGTACTTTTAAATGATTCCAAAACTTCAGTGACAAAAAGAGTAATCTGTACCCTTAAACCAAAACTAGATAAAGGTATCACAAGAAATGAAAACTATAATCAGTATCCCTTATGGGGGCGCCTGGGTGGCTCAGTCGTTAAGCGTCTGCCTTCGGCTCAGGTCATGATCCCAGGGTCCTGGGATCGAGCCCCACATCGGGCTCCCTGCTCAGCGGGGAGTCTGCTTTTCCCTCTCTCACTCCCCCTGCTTGTGTTCCCTCTCTCGCTGTGTCTCTCTCTGTCAAATAAATAAATAAAATCTTTATTTAAAAAAATCCCTTATGAATATAGATGTAAAAATCTCAACAAAATGCAAGCAAACTGAATCCAGCAACGTATAAAAAGGCTTATACACCTTAACCAAATGTGATTTATCCCAGGAAAATAAATTTGATTTAATGTATGAAAATCAATGTAATACATACATATTAATAGAATAAAGGGAGGGAAGGAACCCACAGAGCTGACATTTGTAAAGTCCAAAATCTTTTCATAACAAAATATTCAACAAGCTAGTAGAAATTTCCTCAACCTGATAAAGAGCATGTATGAAAAACCCACAACTAATATCGTACTTAATGGTGAAAGGTTGAAAGCATTTCCCTAAGATCAGGAACAGACAAGGATGCTCAGTCTCCCCATATCTATTTAACATTCTATTAGAGATTCTAGCCAAGGATATGCAAGGGAAAAAAATACAGATAGGAAAAAAGTAAATGATTTCTATTCTCAGATGACATGAACTTGTATATAGAAAATCTTAAGGAATACACACACACAACACGCAAATGCAGCAAGGCTGGATAATACAAGATCAATATACAGAAATCATTTGTATTCCCATACATTAGCAATGAACAATCTAAAAATTAAATTAAGGAAGTGATTCTTGGGGCACCTGGGTGGCTCAGTTGGTTAAGCGACTGCCTTCGGCTCAGGTCATGATCCTGGAGTCCCTGGATCGAGTCCCGCATCGGGCTCCCTGCTCGGCAGGGAGTCTGCTTCTCCCTCTGACCCTCCCCCCTCTCATGTGCTTGCTCTCTCTCATTCTCTCTCTCTCAAATAAATAAATAAAATCTTAAAAAAAAAAAAAAGAAAGTGATTCTACCTGCAATAGTTTTGAAAATAATAAAGTACTTAGGAATAATTTAACAGAAGATATACAAACTTGTGCACTGAAAAATCATAAAACATAATTGAAAGAAATTAAAGAAGACCTAAGTAAATGAAAAGATACTCTGTGTTTATGGATTGGAAGATCTAATATTGGTAATATAGCAATACTTCCCAAATACATTTATAGACTCAATCCAATCTTTATAAAAATCCCAATTTCCTTTATTGGAGAAATAGGCAAGCTGATTCTAAAATTCATATGAAAATACAAGGGACTCAGAACAACCAAAACGACCTTGAGAAAGAATGGTTAAAGTGCTTATACTTCCTGATTTTAAAACTTACTCTAAAGCTACAGTAATGATGGTATTAGCATAAGTATAGACCTATAGATTAACGGAATAGAACTGAGGGTTCAGAAATAAACCCATACATCTATGGCCAATTGATTTTTGACAAAGGTGCCATGATCTTTCGATGGGGAAAGCATAGTCTTTTCAACAAATAGCACTTGCCCAACTGAATATCCACATGCAAAAGAGCAAAGTTGGAGCTCTACCTCACACTGTATACAAAAATCACCTCAGTGTTGATCAACAACCTAATAAAAGAGCTAAAACTACAAAATTCTTGAAGAAAACTTAGGAGCATATATTTATGACCTTGAATTAGGCAACAGTTTCTTAGATATGACACCAGAAGCATAAGCAACCAAAGAAAAAATAGATAAATTGGACTTCATCGAACTTAAAAATGTTTGTGCATCAGTGGACACTATCAAGAAAGTGAAAAGACAACCCATAGAATGTGAGAAAATATTTGCAAGACATATGTTCTGTAGAGGTCAAGTGTCCAGATTGTATAAAGAATTATTATAACTCAAAACAGAGAAATAATGTAATTAAAAACAACCAAAGGATTTAAAAAACACTTATCCAAAGAAATATAAATGGCCAATAAGCATTAAAAAAAGATGTTCAACATCATTAGTCATTAAGGAAATGCCAATCATACTCACAGTATACCACTTCATACCCACTAGGATGGCTATGAAAAGGAAAATAATAGGTATTGGTAAGGATGTGGAAAAATGGGGAACTTCAAACATTACTAGTAGGAATGTAAAATTGTGTAGACTCTGTGGAAAACTGTTCAGTAGTTCCTCAAAAAGTAAACATAGAGTTAGCATATGACCGAGTCATTCCACTCCCAGGTATTTACCCCCCCAAAATTGAAAACATGTTCATACAGAAGCTTCCATATGGATGTCCATAGGATCATTATTGATAAGAGCCAAAAAGATAGAAGACATTATGCTAAGTGAAGGAAGTTAGACCCAAAAGGCCACATAGTGTATTATCCCAGAATGGGCAAATCCACACAGATAGTGGTTGCTCGGGGCTAGATGTGGGGACAGTGAGAAGTGACTGCTAATAGGTATGAGATTTATTTCCTTTTTTAAAAAATGATGTATTTTTAGAGAAGCTTTAGATTCACAGAAAAATTGAGAGGAAGTCACAGAGATTTCCCATATACCGTCTGTCCCCACACAACGTATAACCTCCCTGGTTATCAACATCCCCACTGAGTGGTATGTTTGATACAACTGATAAGCCTACATGGATGCATCAAAATAAGATTTCTTTTGGGAGTGATGAAGATATTTGGAATTTGATAGTGGTGATGGATTCACAACTCTGTTAATACATCAAGAACTACTGAATTGTACATATTAAAAAGTGAAACTTCATAGTAAATCAATTTCATCTCACTTGAACTGTTAGTTTACATGATAGTGGAAACATTATAAAAAAACATGGGGTAATCTGGCCATACTTACATACTAAAGTACCATAAAAACTTGCCTAATGTTGAAGAGGTTTCAGTAGCAATTATGAAAAAGAGAATGTTGCTCTCTCTCCCTGAGTATGCTTTATGAGCATACCTGAGTTGCCTGGGGCACCTGGACTCAGGATTCAGTACGGTGCATCTGACTGATCATGGAAAAAATGGATTCAGCCATTGAAATCTGAGTAGGGGGAGGGTTAGTAAAGACAAATACTTGTTCTATTTTGTGATTGGCTGACGATGATTCACCTTAGCTGGCGATGTCAGCAACCATGTACTTTTAATTAACATGGAGGAAATCAGGTCTTCCTCAGGATTCACGGAGTACGTGTCCCTACCATTGCTTTTCTTTGAACAGAACTCTGCTTTATACGAGAAAGTGATTATTGAACAGTTGATTCTGTGGTTGTCCAGCACTGGAGAGGGGGCTTAGAAAGAACAGTGTTTTAAGTACTTTGCAGTTGCTGCTGCCCCCCCAAGGCACACATGAGTGTCCATGTCACCCCAAGTCCTAGGGTGCCTGCATTCATCACTTCAGTGTGAAATAAAAGGGCACCGCACCCCCCCCCCCCCCCGGCAGCTCCTTTCTCCCCAGTGGTCCAGTAGCAAGGCTGGGTGGTAAATGTTCTTGCGGAATAAATTTTGAACCAGTCCGGAAGCCTTCCCTCCTTGTGCCCATGCAACACCCACAGAGAGCTGTCCCTCGGTCTTCTCCACTGTGTAGGGAAGCGTGTCCCACTCTCTCAAATGCAGCCGCTAACCCTGCGAGTCATTTACATTCAGCTCTCATGCGCAGTGTGCCTCCTGCAATAGAGAATATCGTCATTGTAACCATTACCTCTTCGAATGCTGGCGGCCAGTTGTCAGGGGCAACAACAATGGGCAGGAGGCATCTGCTGGTGGTGGGGCTGGGGTGCCTCCCTGAATTCCAGGAGAGGCTTTGAAGAGCAGAATTTCTTTTATTCTTCTGTCAAAATAAAAATGTGGCTGAGCCTTGCCTAACCCTTGGGCTCCGTTGGGCTTCCGTGGCTAGTATTTTGTTTTGCAAGTTGTGCCACTCAGGGAGTCTGTGTCCTAGGTTAGGACGCTCAGCCATGCCTGTTCAGTAGCAAAGGGACTGCCGTCCCTCCCACTGC